AGTACGATGGGTCTCTTCAGAACTTCAATATGCAGATGGCCTTACCAAGGAGACTGCTGCGCCACTGTTGGGACAAAGATTGCGGACGCATATGACCAAGCTCACCAGCGACAAGAACTTCCAGGCATCAAAAAGAAAGAATATGGCAAGTCGCAAGAAAGGAGAAAATATGTATGCCATCAAGAAGCCGGAGCGAGCACTCTTTGCAATGTTCGCAACACACTTCATGAATTCCGTGAAGGGCGAATGGGAGATGAACGAGTCCTACGGCATGAAGGGGGAACACTACAGCTATGCCGAGTATGACATGATGGAGTATGTCCTGATGATCCTGTTCACCTTGATGATCGGCTTGTTCATTTGGTTCTGTATCAAATGCAGCAACGGCTGGACTATGACTATGACCTGGACGCCAATGAGTACAAGGTCTGTACCTATAGTCGAAGCAACGAGTACCACACGGGAGATGAGCACCCAGACTACAAGGACAGGGTTGGAAGAGGAGAGACTGATCCACCTCAGAAAAGACAATATGGCTTTGACAGAGGAAGTGGAACACCTCAAGAATGAATGGGCACTGGCCCAACACCAGCATCAAGATTCCCGGCGACGAGTAGAGGTCTTGCATCGAGAACTAAAAGCTGAAGGATGAGCAACAAAGGATGCTCGACCAGAAGCTGAAAGTGGCAAAGCAACAGGCATCACTGAAGCCAGTGTACTTGGCAAGCATGGGAGGCTGTTGGCATGCAAGCAAAGCCTGCGTTGGACAACGCACTGCCAACCTGGTATACACCAGGCAGCCATGCAAGGCATGTGCCCACACGTTCTTTGAGGAATGCACGCCACAATCCGAGATGGAAGGTGTGCACTGGGCACAAAATGTCCATGGTGACCTGACCGGCACTGCAGTGAGCTCGAATGTCACCTGGTAGACGAGATGTCGCAATGCCACCTGCATGATTTTCTTTATGAGCTGAAAACAGCCCTTTTTACACCAATGTGAGTTGTGTGCCACACAACATGGAATTTGAATGTGAAACCTTGACTTCGCGTGCCGCCTCAAACCCAGGGCGGGCCGCGTACGCGTCACGAGCTATGGCGATGAGAAAAGGGCCGTGACTGGCGGCCTTCGTGTGATAGGAACTTTGTCTAGGACTTCGTGCACCTAGCTTTGGATCGTGGATCGCTCCCCACGTTACCAACAAAGTCTTTAAAAGGATTCTTGCCTTGCCTTACCTCCCATGGCTCTACGGGGCCAAAACCCTTGTTGCATCTCTTGACGCTGGCTATGGCCAAGCAATGCCAAGCATACATTATGCTATACAAAGAAACAGCTCCAGCATGCAGAATGGAGCCATGGCCTCTGAATGCCGGAAAGTTGCTGGCTGTATCGCTGCACATCATGCGCCGCGCAGGCTTGCGTTGTCATAGGACGTTCGTCCGACATGCTGAGGAAGTGATTTCACTATGCCAGTCAATTTTGTGATCATTGCATGGCCAGTGCAAATGGTGGATGAAGGACACATAAAGAATCTGGGCAACATGATGCTTCTAAATTCACGCGCGAGGCAAAGCCAAGCTGGAGAACATGATTCATAGAACAACAGCTTGCGTTGCAATATTTTGCTGGTTGAAGGCATCACTATGTTGAACATTATGTTCACACACATATATATATACTTTGGTAGCATCCTCGCGGTCCAACTACATGGGTCAACTTAGATGTTTATTGTAAGCATTGACGTCGACTGCAAGTTGTGAAATTGGCAAATGCTCCGGCACAACGAGCAAGTTGACAAACATCTGCAGCTGCAAAAATGAGATGCTTGCAGCTCAAATTTAAATTTAGTTTAATGTGCTGGGGACCCATACGCGCAAACCCACATCCTTCAGCGGGAGGCCCAAAGGCGACTTGAGATGAGGCGACCTGGGTTGGCCAACGCGCAGGTCAACGACTGGTAACACAAAATGAATTTGCACTGCGCTTGCATCGAACGATCGGGAACCTCATTGAACCAACCTATTGAGTCTCTTATCCAATGAACTAAATGACCTAACCATTGCAATAAGCATTGCAAAAAGAATCAAACAAGGATGATATGATGATATATGATACATGCATGTCATGTGTTGCGATGGACTTGATGCTGGCCACCGACTTTCGTTTTCCACTCTGTGGTCTCTCTGTTCGTCGTCGTGGGCCTCACATGGCTCCCATTGGTGATCTGCCCTCTTTGGCGCCCGCGAAGCACTTTGTGCCCATATGCCTACGCACATCCTCACTACTTCATGTTGTCAATGAGGTCATCTGACAAAAAGAGTTGATATCCTAAGCTTGCAAGGGCTTCATCTCCAAGCAGCTTTCAAGAAAACTGTCTGAACGATTGAAATTCAACTCTTCAATGCAACGAGTACCTCCCAGGCATGTCCAAGCCAAGAAACGCCATGATCATACAGGCGCAACTCACAAATGGACTCAGCCGATCTCCGATCACCGCGAAGCGGCCGAACATGCCCAGGAAGCCTGGGGCCTTTCAAAGCATAGCCAAAAATGACTGAGGCGACTACAAATAGCGCCATGATCTGCCATGATGCAATTGATATTGTAAATGCAGCCGCTTTAACAATTATAGAGTTTCAACATCAAGGCTTCTTCAAAGATCTTCAAAGCAGGGTTGCTTCAAAGATATGATGTGATAAGCAAGAACTTCAATGTACACACGTGAACGCTGAGAAAACACTTATAAAAAAAACGTCAAGAATCCTCAATGAACAGGAGGAGATGCTAATGATGACTGGCTACCGGCCTTTGGCTGGAGGAAATTCCCAAAGCGTGGCCTGAGCACCATGGCACAACATGGCACAACAAATCCACTGCAATATGGGCTGTCCACCTTGGAAAGAACTGTCAAGTCTATTGAGCCCAGCAATTTCTGCAAAAGTGACATGGACGTCCGCAGCCTCAAGTATGAGCAGGTGCAAATGCTCAGGAGCACCACCACTAGAAGGCCCTGGAAGTCAAAGAGTGCGGACATGGTAGGCCTCAAACATTCGGCCAAAGAAGATGACATGAATATAATATACATGAACCATGCTAGAACAAACCTAATAGCAATGGCCTCGAACCTACTAGCGATGGCCTCCAACCTTACTTATAATACTTATAACATTTTTTTCAAATGAATATACACGAACCAAATGAACCATGACCATGAGTCAGGAGCAAATTTAACCCCCATCGTCAACACATGCGACGTCTATTCCTTGTGCTAATTCATGCAAATTACTCAACACCCCTTGTTGCAGCTCCGTGTCAGGTCCGCCAGCTGGCGGGCTACGCTCAACTTGATCCGAGTGGCCACGGGTTTGGCCACGCATCAAACGCACAACTCTTTGTTACACATGGGTCACAAGTCTCGTTCGTCACACGTTTTGCTTAGCAGGCTTAGCATGCAAAAATGACTTGCGCAGGCTGAAAAGCAAAGTGCCATGACCAGAAAGGCCTGTATGCAAACGAGAATGGGAACTGATCGTCCAAAGACCCCCGTGACACAAACAGAACAAGGGATGTCCCAAACTTCCAAGTCTCAGCCTCGAACCAAACAAGAGGTGAGACTGCCTCTCCAGAACCTCGCGAGATCTCAGGCAGTAAGTGATTTTTGAAAAAGGAGGCTAAGGAGACACGACTGGCGACAGACTCACTTCAGATTGCTCAAAGTTTGCACACCGAGGAAAGTACCCCTGGCCCCTGGCATTGTCCTCAAAATGCTCCGACGCCAACTCCCCACTCCAACAAATCCTGCTTATAGTGAAGCCAGTGAAGCTATGAGAGTCAAACCACATAATTAATTACTGCGATCATCGCCACTGACTGTCAGAAGTCCCGCTGTGACTATGTAGACTACACGTTTCCATGAAAAGGAGCGAGTCAGCTGGACGAAGAGCAAATGTAATCAACTTGAACCCTTTAAGCAACCGTGATCCACTCATCCACTCCCAACTTCCATCTGCAAACGGGGAGCTTAGCCGTAGATCACTGACATCCTTAGCATGCTTTTGTTCTGCGACCAGCAGAACATCTATTTTTTGGAACTGTGGCTAGCTAGCGGCGGCTAGACTAAGCGCTTGTTTTCATGAGCACATTGCCAACGAAGCTCTATCACGGGGCCCCCATCGATGCTGGGATCGCCACCAGCCTCACAGCAATCAGGAGTCATCCGATGGTGTGCGGATCTAAGAACTTCAGCGGCTTGTTTTGATCTGAAACCACTGTTCCATCAGGCGTAAACTAACCTTGGCTTTTCGAAATCTGACTCCAATTAGGATCATGATCATGCTGATATCACTTGGATAAATGCTTCACCAAGAACAAGCTTGCATCCCAGAACTCTCCATTGCCTCTTGGAAGGCTGGGTCCCGGATCCCCAATTTGCATCAATTTGTAGGGTTTCGACACCAACTCGATCTAATTACTGTACTTGAATATGAGACGCGTATGACAAGTGCTAGAAACCCTGAGGTTTGCACGCTCCAGGTAGGTGCAAGAATGTCATGATCCTCCGCACATGTCACGCAACCGCAACGGACCTCCATACATCTGGAAGTGCATGTTTTGCTTCTTCGCCCTAGGTCTCAAGTGATAGTGCATAGATTGGCTTGAAATCGACCCTGACGCAAAATGCAACTTCCCCTAACGCAGAACATAGCTTCAACATCCCATCCTTATAATGGGTCTCCAAGGGTCCTTGCTTTCATTTCCTGATGCAACATGTCCGACGATCTCAGGTTTCAAACTATGTGCATTCAAAGGCCTTCTGACCTGGGGAACCAGGAAAGCATTTTTCGCTCCCCTGTGAGGCCAGGGCTGTTGCCAGACCGCTGATAAATGAAACCGGAAGAAAGCAAAGACTCTTTGGCCCACTGTTGTCGACCTACTTAAATCAAGGCTTCAGGTTTGCCTTGATTTGGTTTGAAGACTTTTGATATTTTGGATGATGCCTCTAGGCGTTTATGCCTGGGATTGACGGACCAACATCAATGTCCAATTCCAAATCATCCCACTCATCAAATGCGTCGTTCATATCAACTTCGAAATAGGCATCCTCAACACGTCTCTTCCAGGTGCAAGTCTGCTTGAATTGTGATCATGGTGGATCCTAAAGAAAGGGCTGAGTCCAATGACCTCGGAGATCCAAGTGAAACCGAGTTTTAACAACGACAAATCCATCTCCTGCGCGTGTGCTTTCAGAAAATCGTTGAGAAGTGTGGCCTCATGCTGGCCGATGTCGTGCCCAAGGCCTGTCGTGAGCTGTCAGCTTGGAATGCTTCAGCTGTAAGCCTGCTCGAAGACACACAAACGGCTGCCTTGCAGGGTTCTCAATGTAAAGCCAGGCCAGTGATGAGCACGCTCAAGCGACTGTTGAACCTGAGCTCAATTGCAAAACAGGGAAGTTGAGAACCGGTTGCCCCCCCAAACTGATTCCACCTTCCCCACAGCATTCTGGCTCCTCACAGGCAAAAGACACACACCTCCCTTTCACACTGTTTCACTGGCCATGAGAGGCTTTTCTGGAGGAGTCTCACCACTTTTCGCATCCCGTTGTCCCCTCTTTCCTATCATTGATATGAACCCACCACCCCTGGTAGAAACGGTTTACATTGCCTCCTGAACCCCTCGTGATGCTAATGATGCACTGCTGGCCTTCAATTACATCATCGGCATCACAACACCCCTAAAACAAGTTGCCATCTCTTTTTTTCCGCTCTCCCCCACCACGCTCTGCTCCGAAATGGGCCCACTGGCGACCTCCCCCCACCACACGGGCCATTGAGTGATGCCTTCCGAGGAGCAAGTTTGTATGGCACTTCCGTATCTTCTTCAGCAGCTTGAAGCCAAACAGGCCTTGCCGCCTCCGCAGGCAAATGGTGGCTATCTTAGGCCCTACAATCTATCTATCCACCATTCCAACATGTATACACCATTGTCTTGTGGCGCTGTCTTCCCCGGTTTTCACGCATGTGACAACCAGCGCTCCAACTGCAAAAGCCTGCTGCTCCTTTTGTAGCAATGTCCTGACAAGCAAAGTTCTATTGGACTCTGTCCCTCACAGCTCCACATCTTCAACACCCCTGCCACCCAGCAAACAACACTTGAGGTGCATATTGAACCTGAAGTCGCACCTTCTGCGACATGAACCTGAACAATGACGCTATATACATGTATATAATTGTCACACACGAAGTGATGGTTGAAGCAATGAAGCAAAATTCCGAAGTCGGAAACCAACACAAATTCTGCTCTTGGCATGCACGATGCTCAAAGCCAATGTTTCCCGCATAAACGTAAGTCCTAAGGCTTTTTACAAAAGAATCTGACCTTCGACCCCCAGGTTGCGAATGCTCTCAACAACGTCTTAACAACCTACCCCGTGACATATGCTAGGGTAGTATAAATTAGCCTTGGAGAGTTTCCCTACCATAAACCTCTATGGCGAGGATGTCAAGAGACAACCCTGTATTGCCACACTACTGAGACATACTACAGCCACAGCGCAAACCTCATCAAACCTCATACTGCCACAATGCTAACCTCATCAAACATTGCACTGCCACACCACTGCCACAGCACTGCCACACCAAACCTGTTCCACTGCCACAGGGCAAACCTCATCAAATCTCATACTGCCACACCGCAAACCTCATCAAACCTTCTACTGCCACACCAAACCTGTTCTACTGCCACAAGACTGGCACACTCTACTGCCACAGCAAAGCCTCTTCCTACCATATTATTTCCACAGCACTGCCACATCAAAATGTGCTCCTTTTTAAACTGCTCTGAGGAAGCGTGCTCTGATCCTTGACTTTACAGCATAGGCCATTACAGGCCAATGAATGCGTTCCATTCCTTCAAGCACTGCACACCTTGAACCTCCGCCAGCGCTTTGGCCACACTCTTTGAGGGCTTCAACTGCTTCTTCATGCTGCCCTGCATGCACTTTGTGACAGTCTCCGGGTTCACCTTCTGTCCCTGGAAGAGTGTGGATAGAGCCTGTGCGTGGTTGATATGAATATCTTATTTCCAGTTCAAAAACATAAAGGCTTAAGGCTTACGGCTTATGCGTATAAAATTCCTCATGACTCATGGTTTTTTGCTACTTTTCCAATTGATGCAAGCTTAAACTTCAACATTACGTGGACAAGCAACGATCAAATCAGCCAGGACATTGAACAGCAAGCGCAGCTCGGGTGTACCAGCATAGCCACAGGTATGCAAAGAACGGTCAACATCCAATTCACCTTTGACAGGCAGCATCACCTTGGATGATGCTTGGCATTGATACTGGTGAGTATGAATGTGTTGTACGAGTATTCAATATCAGAATCAATATCAATATCCCCATATCCCCTGGACCAGTGCCTATGGTTTTTCTTCTTGCTGCTGGTCGCCAACAGCTTCTATCAACATTGTTTGGCAAATGATGCGGTATCGGTATGCAGTATTTACATGTCACATCATATATATATATTGCAAAGCAAAACAAGTAGATTCAATTTCGATGCGAGTGACAGGGTGTTCCAGACACTTCTTGATCTTGTCAATGGAACCTACCACACTCGAGCTGAGAGACAGCACCTTGCTGCCACATTGGTAGTAGTAGTCAGTCAAGTCCTCTGACTTTATGCCCTCAAACTCCGTGTGATTGCCTCCAAGCCTCTCCAAGAAATCACCCCCATCGCTCTGAATCTTCTGCGCTTTCTCCAAGAGCTTTGTGAGCAAGGGAGCATTCTTTGCCTTCTTCACCGTCCCCAAAATTGCTTGAGTAGTTCCGCTCAATTCTGATTCCATCTCCGTCAAGAATTCCTTGATGACATCAGATAGTTTCTGTGCCCAAGTCGTGACTTGTTCCTGGAAGCGCTTGAGGTGTTCTCCAAGGAATTTGAGTGAGATCAAGGTGTTGTTGTACTTCGAAATCACATCAAGACTCTGTGGCATTTTGGCAGCGACTTTGGAAAGGAGTATTGCCTTCTTGCTGTGGATGTTCTTGATAGACTCTGAATCGTTGACAAGCTTGTCATTGATCAGTTCCACAGCCAAGGAGGTTTGTTTCTTGATCTCTGCCAGTTGTTGCTCAAAAAATGACATCGCTTCTGTGACTGGTGCTGCACTGGTTTCCAACGCGGGGATGATGTAGGCCACAACGGATGATACAAGGTCCTTGTAAGAGAAATCCTGGAAGCTACCTCCAAGTTCATAGATCTTCCACCAAGACGTACTCGGAGTAGAGTCATCACCTCCCATCTCCTGGACGAACGTGAAAAACTCGGAGAGGATTGGGTCCGAGATGTGTGCAAGGGTCGCAGTGGTTTCCGACACTTGCCTGTCTCTCCTCAGGCTGCATTCAAAAGAATATTGTCAGAATTGTGCAGAACTATCTTTTACTCTTACATTACATACATTTACATACTATATTAAGTTAAAGTTAAAGCTAAAGCTTGTAGGCTTACAATAAGTCACGTCAAATAATAACTGAATGTTCAACCGAAAAAATGCAGAACCAGATCGAGCTTCAGCCATTCAGCCATCTTCAAGCAAAGACCAAACAGCCTGCTGATCCTGGTCAGGACCTTCAAATCGAACACCTTGGTCTCCGATGTGCCAAGAACCTGCGCATAATCAAATGCGAAGACCGACTTGAGTGTCGTCATATTCGCAAGCTTGGTCAGCACATCCATGTGTCCAGACCATTGGTCCTTGCTGAGTTTTGAGCCTGATAGGACTGCATTGATTGCATGATCATTCTCCTTGGTGATGAGGGTGCGCAAAATCGCTTTCATCAACACCTTGCCAATGGCGTGCTGTTTGTGACGTACTTTCAGAATGTCTTCTGAATATGCCCCTTGAAAGTCCTGGGTCGCGGAAGCAACCAACATGTTCAACTTGGTGGCAAGATCTGCCCACTTCTGCATTTCTGGAAACTGGACGACACCAGGAGTTTTCAGGAAGCTGTCCACATCTGGTACTTGCAAAGTGTCACGTAGTGTCTTCCTTAGTTGATCAAAGGCTTGTACAATTATACAATCACAAAACACTTACTTATATATTATATAAGCGTCTGACGTGGAACGAAGTCTGGCTTCAAACCCTACCCTCTGAATGCCCTATGCCTCTACGCCTATGCCGCAATTCCCCAACTAGCATGGCACAACAAAGCATAACTGCACCGAACCAAAAAAGAGTATGAGTATATAGTATATAGTAACCGTAATATAGTATATAATATAAAACTTATTAAGTTAAGTTATATATATATAATATATATTATATATGTAAATAAAAAAAGTAAAAGCACAGCTGTTTGAAGTGCCATGATTCAGGCCCTGAAGCACAGAAAGCATTTGGCTGTTTGAATGGAAGAATGCCAGCTTTTCCTGTGTAGTGTCCATGAGGTAGACTCCAAATGGTAGTGCGGTAAGGCTTCTGAGCAAAGATGAACTCTTGCTCGAAAGGAGGGTTCGAGCCTTCTCCACTGAGCTGATGAAATCCTGGTCCACGCTGACAACGTTTTCCTCTTTTGCAAATTTCAGCAAGATCTCCAAATTTGCCAGCTCGGAACATACATCTTGCAAAGGCTCCCAGTTCCAAAGTGCCTGTTCAGCACGGAGGCATTCAATCAAGCCTTGCAACTGTTGCCCACGCTCATTGCAAACAGCTAGGGAAGGAATTCCTTGCTCACCTGGCGGCAAAGACGCTCGCATGACGGACTCAACCGCATGAATGCACCCCCTTGAGCATAGCTCAATGCAAGAGTCTTCTGCCAAAGAGTTCTTCCCGGTTCCTGTGGCCACTAATTTGCTTACCAGCCCCTGCCAATCAAAGGAATCAGCCAGAAAAGTAACTTCCCGCACGGCGAGGATGTCGAACACACCAGGGCTTAGTTTGATTCCAGCTTGTTGCACTTGGTTCACAGCTGAGCGCAAGCAGTCTGGATGAAAGGATTCTCCAGCGGCTGCAGCAAGGGAGGCTGCAAGCGGCAAGGCAGCTTGAAGCTTCAATTTGAGCTGCCTGAGGGTTGCAGTCACACGGAGGCCGCGATCGTCTGACTCACTCCCACACACAGTGGAAACCAGTTGAGGAACCAACCTTGCTTCCACTTTGGAAAGTACACTTTTGATCTTGGCCTCATTGATGGTGACCAACGTATCCAAGTCATCGAATTGCTGCACCAACTGCGCTGCCTCCGTTGAGATCGAATCACTTGTGTTCAATTCTTTGAGCGCAGCTCCCTTTGGTGCAGTCTTTGCAATGTTTGCGGCTGGTGTTTGTGGTTCCCGACGAGAACCCAGTGCACCAAAGATGCTCTCTTTAGCAGTTCTAGCTGCAGCCGCATCCTTTGCTGATTCTGCTTTTCTGGGCTTCTTCGGTTCTGGATGATCCTCTTCTGCAGTAGTACCAGCGCCTGACTCCGTCATCTCAGCATCTTGCAGAGCGGCAACATGCTCCTGCCCAGTGATTCTCGGATATAGTATAGTATATATTAAATATTACATATATATCTTGAATAGTTATGTTGTATTTTATATACTACTATATTAGCATCATTACATACAACAGGATACAACAGCATACTGTAATGTAAAAGCACCCTGGGCACGTCATTAGTTTTTAAAGTAGCATTTGTGTCAACATCCCTCTCCTGCGACGCTTGCTCTGCGAGAAGAGTGTATTGCCCCACAAATCATCCAGCTCATCATACAAGGGATCTTTTCCCGATGAGCTCTCCACAGCTGGACCCGCCATAGTGACTTCTCCACCTTCTCCAACAGCAGATGCTCCTTCCATAGCACTACTACATTTGAAATCAAATGATTGTATTGCTCATGAACTACTCAACAAAAAGACTTAGGTG